GGACTGTCCAACAATACTGTTGGACTACCTGTGCTTCTGGGTCCTGCCATTCAAAAGCAAACAGCTGCTGTGATTCTTCTGCAGTAGGAATGCAGAAAAAAGCATCCTTCAAGTCCAAAACTGAGAATCAGCTGTATTCTCCCAGAACAGTTGTAAGCAGAGTATATGGATTAGGTGCCACAGGGTACAAATCTTGGACTATTTCATTAACAGCCCTCAAGTCTTGGACAAAGCAATACTCTGCTGAATTTGGCTTTTTGACCGGGAGGATAGGGGTGTTATATGGGAACCTGCAAGGTATAATCATTCCTGTTTTAAACAACTTTTCGAGAATTGGCTGTATTCCCTTTTGGGCCTCTTGCCTTAGAGGGTATTGTTTTAGATGAGGTGTCCCAACATCCCTTTTTTAAAAATTAATTAATTAATTAATTTGGCTGCATTGGGTCTTAGTTGCGTCATGCAGGATCTTCATTGCGGCACGTGGGCTCTCTAGTTGTGGCTTGTGGGCTCAGTAGCTGCGGCACGCGGGCTTAGTTGCCCCGCGGCATGTGGGATCTTAGTTCCCTGACCAGGAATTGAACCCGTGTCCCCTTCTTAACCACTGGACCACCAGGGAAGTCCCCCAACATCCTTTTTTAATGGGATTTGTATTGGTCATGTGTTTTTGGCCTTCTCTGGGGTGCCATCAACCCACACTTCTGGCCTTACCTTTTCATAGACCTTGGAGGTTGGGGGAGAGCTCTGTCTCCTTTTCTGGGGCGTCCATGAGTGCCATATGTAGGCTTATAGCATGCTCTGGTGTCAAGCTGTCCTGGCAAAAAAGTTACTTGAACATTTAATTTACAAAGGAGGTCTCGGCCCAAAAGAGGGATTGGACACGCTGGCATAGATAAGAAACTGTGTTTCAGGGTGAGGTCCCCTAATTGGCATTCCAGAAGTAGTAAGAAATAACAATTTTCTATTTCTCCAGAAACTCCCATGACCAGGATGGACTGAGATGTTTTCTTTGCCACCTTGGTGTTTACCATGGAGCATGTTATACCCATATCTATCAGAAAGTCAATCAACTTGTCCCCCACTATCAAAAGTTACCCAGGGCTCCTGTGGGGAAATTGGAATTGGACACCTCAAGTCCAAAGGAGCCCCCAGGCCTCTTCATTCATCATGAGAGTGTTCCTCTTTTTCTAACATATGAGAAGTTCCCATCTTTCTTTTATTGTTTTCTTTCTTATTCTTTAGGCTGGGTCAATCATTTTTTCCAATGCCTGTCCTCCTTAGAGGAAGCACATTGGTCCCTCCATGATGGTGGCTTACCTCTCTTTGTGTTACTTGCTTTCCCGGAATCCAGTGCTGATGCCAGAAAAGTGGCATTCCATCTTGCATCCTCTTGCTTCTGTCGTTGTTCCCTGTTAAGGTTGCTCCAACTGTTGTTGATCACTGTAAAAGCAACATCTACCAATTGAGAAGGGTTCATTCAAAATGCACCATCTAACTTTTGCAATTTTCTTCTTATATCTGGGGTGCTTTGCCCAGTGAAGGTCATATTTACCATTCTCATATTTTCTGGGGACTCAGAGTCTGTGTCAATGTAGCACCTGTAAGCTTGATAAATTCTTTCTAGAGACTCTGATGGATCCTCATTGGGTTTTTGGTGTGTCTCCTGAATTTTGTTTAAGCACTTTTGCCTAGGTACTCCTTTTCAAAGACCCGCTAAGATACACTTCCTATAATGTTTTAGGAGTGGCATATCTCCATTATTAGGATCCCAGTCAGGCTCAGCAATAAGAACTGCCAAATTTGCTTCTGGAGCTCCATCTGGATCTGCTAGATGAAGCTGATATGCTTCCTCTCTAGCCATGTCAATGACGATCCTTCTTTCATCCCCAGTAAGCGTCATATTCATAAGAGTGTGAATGTCTGCCTAAGAGGGATGGTGAGTGGCAAAGATAGAAGTGAAAAGTTCAGTCATATGGAGGGGGGCTTCTCAGTACGTAAGGTTATGGTTTTTCCAGTTAAACAGATCTGAAGTTGACAATGGCTTGTGCATCCGTAGAAACCCAGCTGGTTGGCCATCTGCATTAAGGCCTCCCACAGGATATCAGCACAAGGGAAATTGCCCTGCTCCAGAAGTGACTCCCAGTCCAAATTGGATGCCCTGTTGGGTCTTATATGGTAAAACCAAACCAGGCCCCTGTGCCCCTGGGGTTAACATAGAAACTTCTAATTGATGCCCATAAGTAGGGGAAACAGGAGGCAGTGAATATGTTGGTGGCATGGGGGTGGTCAAACAACTGCCGGTGCAGCCTGCTTGGCCAGTGGGGGAGTCTGGTTGGCTGGAGGGGGCATTTTAAGTTTTGGAATAACATGTCCTCACTCTCACTTTCACCTTCTCCCTCTTGAAGAGCAGGTTTTTTCCCTTGGTTTTCCTTTTAGACTGCTGTACCATAAGGTGGGAGCCTTCTGACTTCTTTTCCTCCTGATGCAATAGCATAAATGCTTCTATGTAAGGAATCCCATCATTTTTACCCGCTCTTTCACAAAACAATTCTAATTGCAAGATTGTATAATAATTAAGTGAGCCATTCAAGGGCCTTCACTCTCCTCATCCTAACATATGTTGGGCCCACACACAATTACAATAGAGTATCCTCTCTTCCTTAGTCATAGGCCCACAGCTATATTTTGCCCATTTATTTAAGATACACCCCAAAGGGCTTTCCTTAGGGACAGATGGAATATTTCCCATATTTATAAGTTCAAGAACAACAAAACACAAAAAGCACAAGCAAATTCCAATACCAAAAACACAAACAAGATTCCATCATGAATGAACGTAAAACAAAAGCCAACAAACCGGTTTACAAATCAGGTAGAGTCCAACAATAATTTCCCCCTCCAACAGGGTACCTCAATCGAATGAACAAATTGGCTTTTCCCTTAAAGGAAAAGCCCTAACTGAGAGGAGAAAATGTTCTCAGTTGGCAGTTCCCAGTACATACCGGAGTGACTTACCCTACTATATGGGGCCCATTGGCTCCCAAATGTTGATTCCTTGCTCCAACTGCCAAGCGCTGGGGCAGCTGGTGCCACTTCAGGGAATTTCAAAGGGAAAACCCTCAGGACAAGTGGTCCTGGCAGCTGCTAGGGCCTTACATGAAAATTCCCCAACCAGGGCTGGCAGGCCACAAGCAGCAGCGCTCCTGGCTGGCTTCGCCAAAATTTGTTACCAAGCTTGGGCTCAGTAACATTTTTATCCTCTTCATTTTTAAAGTCAGGATTTTGTATTCTTCTAATCTGATTTTATTGGAATTATTTATGCTCAGATGCTCTCTGCAAAGCTAAAACATATTTTTCAAACCTCCTTATGTTTTCAAGCATGTAAGTTAGTTAGCTAGTATTCAACATTCCCATCACTTATGCTTGCTACTGACAGGAAGACAAACTTTGTTTTTTTTCTCTGCTTTCCATTGAACCAGTGCCATTATGTCCTATGAATTTTGGTTGATTAAGACCTCAAGATATGTATTATCCTATATCACATCACTTTTTAAAACTTGTCTCTTGAAATAGAAGTTAAGAGCATAGGCTTAGAGGTCAGATAGACCTCTGTGATAGTGGACAAGTTACTGAAACTCTGTAGGCCTCAGTTACCTTGTCAGTAAAATAAGGATTATAACAGTTCCTACTGCATAGCACTGTTATGAAGATCAAATAAGAAAATGTGGGTTGACTGTTTACTAGATAGTAAACACTCAATAAGCGCTAGCTTTAGTTATTCTTATGATTACTTTTGTTAGATTGTAAGCTTCTTGGAATTAGGAACCATGTTTCAAATTTTAGTAAACAATGAGTGCTTAATACAAATTTATTATTATTTGCTTATATAATAGTTATATTTAGTGATAAGAATTCCAGAAAATGAAACACACTGGAATTAAGATTGCTAGATTTGATTCTGATTTCCTTATGTTACACTTCTTTATTTCTCCCCAAGTTGGTGGGTTGTTTATTTCTTTCTTCTAATCTGACTTCTTTTTTTTGGCTGTCACTTATTTTATTTTTTTATAAAGTATTTTATTTTATTTATTTATTTTTAAAATTTTGTTTATTTGGTTGCCTTAACTGCAGCAAGTGAGCTCCTTAGTTGTCACATGCGAACTCTTAGTTGCAGCACGCAGGTGGGATCTACTTCCCTGACCAGGGATCGAACCTGGACCCCCTGCGTTGAGAGGATGGAGTCTTAACTACTGCACCACCAGAGAAGTCCCTGACTTATTTTTTCCTTTTGGAAAAATATTACTCATTTCTAAATTTTCTTTTGTCTTTTCTCACTGTAGGGGGATTCACATTTAAATTCCATCAGTCTTTTAAGTGTCAACTGGGCCAGGCTCTGTGCTATTTGCTTGAAGATACCTAGATATTATCTCCATTTCATAGAGAAGAAAACCAAGGCTCAGAGAGTTCAGGTGAATGGTCCAAGATCATACAGTTAGTAAGTAGTAGCTCAAGAATGACCAATTAGACTTGACCATAAACCATTGAAAAGAACTCTAGGAGGAATATGACTAAGTAGTTTGATGTACAGAGAGATAGAAATGTTTTTTTCTTCAAAAAGGGGTGAGGAGGAGAGTCAGGGAATTCTTTGTGAAGATGAAATTACTCTAAGAGATGGCCAGTCAATCCATGGACAATTGAGAGCTGACTAATCTGGAACAAAATTTTTTCTTTCACTCCTTCTATTCTCACTTTAGATATACATAACAGAGTGTGTTTATGGCATATAAATGCTAAGTAGAGGGGTGGGATAGGGAGGGTGAGAGGGAGACACAAGACGAAGGAGATATGGGGATAAAGGTATATGTATAGCTGATTCACTTTTTTATAAAGCAGAAACTAACACACCATTGTAAAGCAATTATACTCCAATAAGAATGTAAAATAAATAAATAAATACATGCTAAGTAGATAAATTGCCACTATTTGGAAGATAAAATGGTAAGCATGGGAGAAAAACATTTTATTTGATGGTATGTGGACCATAAGTAAATTCACAGGCTTTTAATATATAAAGAATAGATCTAGTAGAAGAAGATACCATATCAGTGTTGAAAATGATAGCACATATGTCCTTTCACCAAGTTTAGTTACAGTTCTCATAATATAAAACTAATCCTTGGAATGCTTGGTAAATATGCTGATTCTGGGTACAAATGAATCCTCCACTTCTGAAGGCTTGGTGTGGGCTCCGATTTAGGTCTCCAATACATGTCCAGCGATTTTTGGTGCCCTTTTGGGAAATACACCATTTGGCATGATCCTGATAAGAGCTGAAATAAGATTGTCTAGATAACTTAATTGCTTTGACATTGTAGACATGGTAAGGAAGGGAGCAGTTTGAAGGAAGCTCTTGTCTCTTTCGCTGCCAGGTTTCTGTTAGCAAGTGAGTCTTCAACCGTTGAGCCATCCAGGCTGCAAAGATGTCTAGAGTTTATAAAGAGAAAAATAGTGAGGTTTATTTAAACTTAGATAAATCCCTGAAAATATCTCAGGAATAGAACCATCATGCACCCCTGATATGTGGATGTCACAAGCACAATAATAACAACATGACTGAGAGAGTGGATAGGAGAACATTTTATAAACGCTAAAGTGATATGCAAATAAAAGTTATTATCATTATTACTAGGATGATATTGGTCTCTGAAAACGTCTTCTATTCCACACATACAAGAGCAATATAGGCTTTTGTCCTGAAAAGACCTTTGGAAAGAATAAGGATAGAGCAGTAACCAGAGGCCAGCATCTAGAGATCTTTATAAACCATGCCAAAGTGTTTGAATTTTCCTGAAATCAATGGGAAATTTTTTAAGGAGTGTTATTGGGGGATTAATAGAAACTGCTTTATGACCATAAATATCAATTGAGAAGCAATGTGCAGGATGAATTGGGAAGGCTACATTAGATTGGAGAGAGGAAAACCACCAGCTTGTCACAATAAATGTGGTAACAAACACAGGTGTGAACCATGGCCATGGCAGAAAGTTTAGAGGGGGTAAGATAAATGTGAGTTATTAAGGACTGGGAACTGATTTAACTTGATGATTTGATAAGGGGGAAGAGAAAAAAACAGGGATCAAGAGTTCTAGGGGACCATGCAGAATATGAGAAAAAGAGTGAGATATGTTAGGAATAATGATGAGATGAGTTTGGCGTGTTGAATTTTGTGTGGCTGTGCCACCCTGCGAGCAGAAATGTCCCACCCACTGATGAATACTTCTGTCAGAACAGAGGTCTAGGGTGGAGATCTAGACTTGGGAATCACCTAGCAGGAATATGTATGTGCGATAAGGGTAAGTAGAGGACCACAGGGCAACCTAGTCACATAAGGAGTATGCAGAGGAGGAGGACCTGGCGGAAGAGACTTATAAGAAGTGGGAGGAAGACCAAAAGACTGTGTACTTCCAAAACTCAGGGAGGAGAACGTTTCAAAAAAGAAAGGGTTCCAACTGTGCCAAATTCTGCGGAAGCTATTTCTGTCCTGTTAATTTTGGGATCTCTAATGCCTAACACAGGCAAGTAGTAGGCATTCAGTAAATTTTATTCAATATTAAAGGAAGGAAGAAAGTTAGGAAGGAAGAAAGGAAGGGAGTTAGGAAGGAAGGAACGAATGAAGGAATGAAAGAAGTAAGTTAGGAAGGAAGGAAGGTAAGAAGTTAGGAAGGAAGGAAGGAAGGACGGAAGGAAGGAAGGAAGACAGTGAGGTCAATTAAGATGGCCATTGGTGACTGGAGAGAGACTGTAAGGTCTATAGACAGAGAAGCAAGACTGTAGTCAAGGAGCAGTGAGCAAGTAAAGACCCTGAAGAGTTTTCTAAAAGTAAATTTAGAAGAAAAAAAACAGAGGTATAGGGAATCTAGAATTGAGGGAGGGTTTTTAGGAATGTTTATATTCTAAGGGGCTTGTAGAGCAGGAGAGCTGAAGTAGAAGAGGGAGAACAGGTTGAGTTTATGAAAGTATTCTGAGGCTGGGATAGGTTCCAGGGCACGGAGTGCACTGCTTCTGTTTGGATGAGAGAAAACTGGTAAAAAAAGAATGAAAATAGCTTAGATTGTGGAGGGTGGGGTGTGCTCTTGAAGTGGTTTCTTTCTGGTGATTTCTATTCTCTCTATGAAGGAAAAGGTGAAGAGGCAGGACCTGAGGGTAAGGAAGGCTTAAAATAACTACTTAGGGAGTGAAAGAAAAAGGAGACAGCTTGGTTCTGTGCCCAGCTGAGGCTGGAGACTGAGTTTTTACTGGCCTCTGGCTAGATGGTTGTGAGATACTTTTGTGGTTGGATCAGCAACCCTTCTATTCAAGTGGCTAATATTTTAATTGACCCTTGGTGTCCCTTCTCCCTTTCCTTTCTTTGTCCTCCCTCCTCTTCTACTTCTACTCCCCTGAATAATCAGAATATTTCCTCTTTGCAATCCAAAGTGAGTCCAGCAGCAGTGTAATAGCATATTGTTTGATGATGGGCTTTCATACCGTCAAGAAAATAATCAGACTTTGCAAAATGGAGGAATTTTTGTCCCTGGGCTGACTGAAGTGTGGTGAGATGCCGGCCAGGGATCTCTGATGAGCTGGATCTGGCACACAGCTGGGGCATGTGAACGAGCTCCTGGTGAAAGGTTACTGGGATGGAACAGCTATAAACGTTTGGGTTGCAGACCAAGAGCTGAGAATCTGAATCAAGAAACAATAAAGAAAAGTTGAGAATTAAGACACAAATGGAAATGCTTGTTGGTATTTTAGGTCTTGTTGTGAATTAAAAAACTAAATAGAATGAAAAACAAAAGCAAAAGTATTCCCTTCTTTAAGCCAATAGCCTTCAAACTTTTGGTTAAAATAGTTGACACTCCCTACTTTCCAGGCATTATTATGTGGGTTTACTAATTTAATCAGAACAACCTTATTATTAGGTAAGTTCTTTTATCATTATCCTCATTTTATAGATAAATTAATGGAGAATTTATGTCACATGCCCAAGGTTATAAGCTTGTAACTGAAGGAGTTGGTATTAAAGCCCAGGCAGTCTGGTCTTGGAGGCCATGTGTTTTTTCTCCCATGTGTACACATACAAAAGTAGAGAACACCCATGTACTGATCATCCAGCTCCAAGAATGACCAACTCATCAGCATGCACACCTAATCTCTATGGTATTAAGCTCTCTAGTCATTATAGGAACTCAGCTAGTTAGACTAGGGCTTAATTTGGGTGAGAGGCTCAATAATCCTTTCCATAAGATGGAAATTTGATAAAAAACAAAAATATTCTAAACCTCCTATATCCAGAGGCAAATAATCACTCTTTACTATTTAGCAGCTTCCTCAGTAAAAAGTGATTGGTAAAATACCATTCCTACTTCTCTTCCCTATTCCTACTTTGGATTTTCCAAATCCAAGTATTTTTGGCCCTTTGAACTTGAGATCTTAAGGGAGGATCATCTGGTTTATGCTCCGAAGTGTCATGTTGGTGGCCTATAGGCAACATGAGGTCTACACAATTTAAAAAATAAATAAGATTGAGACCATATTGGAAAATCAGAGGATCTATCTCCCTCTTTCCTTCTCTCTCTTGTATTCTTACATCCTCCCCTAGGTTTCTGCTTCCTCTAAAAAATATGGAGATGTAGGTCTGTATTCCCACAGAACCACAGTATAATGGAGCTGAAGCTTTTGAGGGAAGCTAGGGGAGAGTCAACAACCCAGTTTGTCACTGTCCCCACTGCCCATGCAATGTCCACCTGTGTCACCCATTTTTCTTACCTGCCTGGCCCCTGTAGACATTTGAAACTACTGCCTCTGATCAAGTTCAAAGACTTCATTGGTGGACCAGGAAAGCAAGGTCCAATAAGTGAGCCTGCCCGAGATCTCACCAAAGCCAATATTAGAATCTAGGTATCAGAGGGTTTATGAATAGAGAAGCAAATGAAGTGATAAATTTATTAATATATTTCCAAATCCCTTCTTCAATATTGTTATCTCTCTTTCTCTCTCTCTCTCTCTTTTTTTACACACTCTAGTGTTACCTATTGCTTCATACTGGTTGTACTGGAAAGTTATGCAGATGCCAGTTTGTCCATTTCGTCTCCCTGTGGGTGGATACTCATAGCCTTCTTCAGGAATTGGAGGAAAATGGGGAATGGAATGAATCAACCAGAACCCCTGGATTCTGTTCCACAGAAGTAAACCTACCAAAGATACAGTAAATACAGATAAATTAGAAAAACAAAGCTCCTTTAAAAAAAACAGAGTTCAAAGCTACAACATTTAAGCCCTTTATACTTCAGGCTAATTTTTTATTAGGCTAATAATTACAAGGATCACGCTCTTTTTCAATAATTTCAAAACCAATTCAGGTACACATCATATTGCCCCATTACTGTTAATAACCCACCACAAAAGGGAGCTAGGGCAGCCACCCTGTGAAGAGTTGAGAGGCATTTCATGTTGAAACTACAAGGAAAATTTGTTTTGGCAGAATGCAAATTTGCTAAATTGGTATTTGACCTTGTTAGACTATGTAGTCACCTGGCAAGCTTCAGATAATGTCTTTACTGCTAAGCAGCTAAGCTATTTTCAAAAGCCAGCTAAAAAGCAGAGTTGAAAGAGAAAATATCAAATGAGAACATGTACTTGCAGTAATTTATTGTGAGAAACTGATGCTCATTTATGTGCAGAATTCACCCAGTTCCGCAAGATTGAAAAAAGAGGCAGAGAGAAAAAAAACAGGGAAGCCATGTTCTAAAACACCCCAGTTAATTGTATTTAGTAAAAATCTCTAGAGCAGACTAACATGAAAGCCAGAAAAGAAGGAAACAGAAAGATTTTCATCATCTTGTGACATGGCACAAAGAACCCTGTCCACCAGGCATCTATGACTATTTCTGTGTTTATAAATATATCAAGACAGTTTTGGTATGCTAACTAGACTTTCCAGTTTGCATATGACCATGGAGACATAAAAGTCATGTTTGCCTTAGTGTTAGAACAGAAACCAAATGCCTGCCAGTTATTTCTTTTTCAAAGAATACACTTTAAGGAAGCAGAGTATTTGTCAGTGACTTTGTCAGTGGCTATGGAATCAATACCTGTGTCGAGATGGAAAATGTTCAAAGTTCAGTTGCCTCACAGAGCTGGATGACCTTCAGGGACTCTCTTCGGCCCAGATGAGTATTGCTGTTTGTCTGAAATCCTAACTTCCTGGTACAAATGCCACAGGATGTCGGGACACCTGTTGGCAGGGAACTCCCCAATGTGACATCAGGTCCCACTCCTTTTCCAGCCTTTTTTCTAAACGCTTGTATCAACTAACAGGGTGGAGCGAAAATGGTGGTGGGAGGTTGGTAAAGGAGAGGTTGCAGAATGCGGCATGTTATAAAAATTGTTGGGTTCCATGCAAATAGGACCATCAGGAAGGCAACTTAGCTAAATCAAAGGCTTTCAATGCTCATGACATTTGACAGCCATTACAAATGATATTCTGAATCAGAGGTTGCAAACAGGCAGCCCACAGGCCAAATCTAGCCTGCAGATACATATTATTATGCTTGCAGAGTATTTTTTAAAACTTTGAATTTATTACCAACATTTAAAAACTGGGGAGATTTCCCACAAACTCTAATTTTCTCTGGAAAAATTGCATTCCCATAAGGCAAGCTGAGTAGTAACTGCTTCCTTAGAGCAAGTATATACTCTCCAGTTCTCTAGTTACCTGCCAGTTCAGCCCCCTTGGCTTGCTGACATCACTTGCCTGCCCCTGAAGACATTTGAGTTTGGAACCTTCTGAAGAATACTTGTTGCCATGGAAAGTTATTCATGGTATATTAAGTTGAAAAAAGTTTGAAGTAGTCATTACAATAGTTTTATAAAAATGTTTCAAAATATGTATCATAGAAAAAGTAGAAAGTATTAAGTGTAATTATCTGATGAGTATTAGGATTACAGATTTTTTGTTTACTATCATTTTGAATTTTTCAATAACATATATATACATAGTTTATAAATTGAAAAATACCAAAAATCACTATAATAAAAATTATTATAATTATAGAACAAAATATATAACAACAAAAATTACTATAATATAAAAAATATTTTAAAATACTTTTTCAAAAATGTTTACTGTATTTCAAATGGAACTTGACACTAAGAAGGGTGAATTTTACTCTATGCAAATTATACCTCTATAAACCTGACTAAAATGTGTGTACAGTATACACACACACACGCATATATAGTCTGGCTGGTATTCCCAGTAGTCAATATTGGATTTCTTCTTTAAAGTATATATTAAAAGATACATTAAGAAATAAAATGGGATTTGTGAGAAGGATATTGCAAAGTCAAAGTATATCATTATAACCTGTGATACAGAAATCACTCATTTTGATGACTCAGACCATTAAAAAGAAAAGCTATCTTTTTAGTATGGAGTATAAGACTACTGAAGATGGAATGTTTACAAAAATACTGATTTCCAGTAGGAAAGAGAAAATAAGAGCCTTTGTCATACCTTTGGTGTGTCCATACTTTCTGCTGTAATTCATGGATTTAGGGACTCCATCATTGTATATTAGATAGGCTGTGTTGTTATCCTGCAGGGACATTTTAGGGTTATAATGGCATAAATCTTTCACTCATAAATGCTCACAACATTTCCACCAGCTACCCGGCCTGCAATACAGAACTTTCATTAATACACATGAGAAGTCATCCGTTCTAATAGGCAGCTTTCCCATCGATATGAATTCTGTGACGTGCAAGACAAGGGACAAGAAGTCCATTCTCAACCACACATGGTTTTGTCTTGTGTGACAGGAGCCCTGTGCATTGTGATGTGTGTGTGAGGGCAATATTCCTATTTCAGTTATTTTGGACCCATGTTCTGATCTGGCAACTAGTGTATGATAAAGGGGTACTTAAATATTCATTCAGGAAATGCAGTAGGAACAACCAGCCAAGGATTACAGCTAAGTTTTCTCCACTGATATTATAGGCACAATGCAGAATTGGCTGTCAGGGTCTGATTTCCTCTGCTTACTTTGTGCTTCACTGCTTGGTCATAGCTTCCTGTTTAATCAGGGTTCCTCATTCTCTGCTTCTACTAGCTCCCTGATAGGGGAGGATTTTTCTTCAATCCATTTCTCCTGTCACTTCACCATTTCAACTTGACCTTTTCCTGCTTAAAATAAGTGGTATGATTGAATGTGATAATGGATTTCCTCTGGTAAGGCAACATGCGAGTACATTCCCCAAACAGTTGGTCAAATCTCTGAGTCAAAGTGAAGCTACTATTTTGATAGTATCTCTTTGTCATGTTTTGGAAACTTGCTTATATTTTTTCTGTGTCGTTCCATTTCAGTTGTGTCATGATGCAGTGACTTTTAATGAAGCCAATGATGTCAATATTAAAAAGTCTCAGTGACATAATTAAAAGCAGGAAAGGACAACCCATCCCCTTAAAAAAAGACCCTTGCTTGTCCCTCAGAAAAAAAATCAATAACTGAGTTTCTTACAGGTGCTTCATTATTTGATATAATCTAAAACCATTTTTTTAAAAAAGGCACAACATAGTCTCTACAGCATTCTTGGCTACTATGTTTAGGAATATTTAGGAAAGTAAGCTGTTTTCTTACCTGCATTTTCTGTAATTGACCATCACTACCGTTGGCATTCAGATTCTCCACTGGAGAACTCTGACAGTTAGTTATCCTGTGAGCCTGTATGGAATGCGGTGACAAGGCCATTGTGTGCCTTTGGGGTACAATGTGGAAGGCCTCTGGGAAAATTCAGTAAGGAACTTAATTCTTTTAATAGATGAAGTTTAACATTCTAACCAGAGGTATAACGGCCAGCTAAGGTAAATGGGATGTAGCTCTAGTGAAAAGAGGCTCCTTCATAAAGTGAAAAAATCATGACCTAAGAATAGGACCTGGAGATTATCATACTAAGTGAAGTAAGTCAGACAGAGAAAGACAATATCATACGATATCGCTTATATGCAGAATCTAAAAAAATTGATGCTAATGAACTTATTTACAAAACAGAAACAGACCTACAGACTTAGAGAACAAACTTATGGTTACCGGGGGGGAAGGATAGCGGGGAGGGATAGATTGGGAGTTGGGGATTGACATGTACACACTGCTATATTTAAGATAGATAACCAACAAGGACCTACTGTGTAGCACAGGGAACTCTGCTCAATATTCTGTAATAACCTAAATGGGAAAAGAATTTGAAAAAGGATGCATGTGTATGTATAACTGAATCACTTTGCAGTATACCTGAAACTAACACAATATTGTTAATCGACTATGGTCCAATATAAAAAAAAATTTAAAAAAAAGAAAAGGCAGACCTAGGCTTGTGCCTCTAGACCTTTTTTTTTTTTTTTTTTTTTGGCCTCGTGGCTTGCAGGATCTTAGTTCCCCACCAGGGTTTGGGATCCAACCCAGGCCCTCAGCAGTGGAAGCATAGAGTCCTAACCACTGGACCACCGGCGAATTCCCAGGACATCTTTATTCCTTTAACACTTATGTTGGGTATTATTTTGACTACTGGATGTTGAATAAGAAGGGTATGGTCTCTGACCCCAGTCTAGCAGGGAATAGTCAGGTAAATATAGGCAACTGTGATATAGTTTGATAAGTGTTATTATCAAGGTATACGGAAGGTTCTCATTTACAAAGGCAAAAGAAGGGATATTTTCCAACATAACCCCGATATTGGCATAACTTGACATTTGAGATTTAAAACCAGTTGGTCTGATCTTGCATTCTACTCTCTGTCAGAAGTTCAATTCCAGATCAGAAGGTGGGGAAGTTGTGTTCTCATGGTCACTTCTGGCACATAGTTCCAACTTCCAGAGAACACTCAGTCTTTTTGGTTGTTCTTCTTTGGGCTCCATGCCAATCAGACATGGAAATCAGCCCCTTTACTGTCATTTTCTTCCCAGAATCCACCACTCAAGACATTGCGTGTGAGCAGGTTTTACAGAAGGTATGAAACATTGAATGGTTTTACATCACCAAGCTGACCTGCCTCCAATCTCCCTCCATGTTCTGTATACTTTTTAATTCCTAGCTCCCATCTACCCCTTCTTTATTTTGCAGAGCAGTTTAGCTCTCATGCCCTCCTAGGCTCTGGGGCTACTTTTGCACTTCCAAAGATCATTATTATAGTTTGCCAAACGAAGACCCATCTTCCCCAAAAAAGATAAATGACAGAGGCTGCAATGTTGCTCTTGCCTTTCTCTTCTTGGACAGTCTGCAATTGGGAGGGGAAGAATGTGTTTATTTTCTCACTGATGGGTTATACTCCAGGTTTTCCATCCCCAACCTTGGAAAGCAGAAGCAGCTACAGGTAGTTTTGCTTTTACACAATAATCGACTAATTCAAAACAGGGATGTTGCTGAGAATGAACAATTTCTAAAAGCCCCTAGGACAGTGTTTGGAACATCACATGTACTCAAACAGCTCACAAATAAGTTTTGACTTTGTAACTTGGCTCCGATGGCTGGTCTTAATGACAGGTGAATAAAGTGGGTATTTGTGCACAAGGTGACAGCTCTCTGCATATTTTCAGTAAATGTTCAAATAGTGGTGCTAGAGTCTAATTCAGTATTGTTGTGGGGATTAAATTAGTTGACATATGTAAAGACCCAGCACGTTGTAAGTGCTGAGTTATTTTACATATTTACTTCTCTATAAATTATTGTTAGGAAATGCGTAGATGAGTATAATTGGATGTTAATTATTGTTCGATTTTACTTGTCACCCCTCGTTGAAAAGCAGTATCTTGTCACACTGAACAGCAGATGGTGCCTGGAATGTTGGGAGACTGCCCACATTGAGGTAGTTAACTCATTGCCTGATGGAGTCCAGATAGCAGGTTTAAGCTCCATATTCAGGCAAGTTAGTTCCAGGGCCTTGAACTAGAGCCCTAGCTCTCAACCTACTATTTTGAAAATGATTAATTAAAAGGAAGACCAAGTGGAACCCTTTACTTTTCCCACCAAACTCATCCCACCATGGCTTAAACAACCCATAGCTCATGGCATATTGATCACAGATCTATATTGCATTGTAATAGGAGAGGGCTCTTCTATTTCCATTAAAGGAGTAAGATAGCGAGTACTGAGCACATTGGCAGAGTTTGGCAGCCAAAAGATTTCAATATGTAATTAGTTCACACTTTGCCCAGTGATGCCATTGGACATAGTGCCGAACATATCAACAATTTGGCATTGCTATGGAGTATGTTGATGTATTCCCTAAGGTCTTAGTTAGATTGATTCAGATTCTGAGCTAGCTTACTTCTAGTTGCTAGGATTGGGCACTGGGTAGACAAGGAGTTAAAATCTTTTGGAAGCCTTGGAGTCTGTATTATGCATTTTATATGATTCAAATAAATGATAACTATAACATACCTCGGAAGCATATGCTTCATATAGCTGTTGTAATGTCCTTCCCAAAACACTCTTGGTGGTATTCATTAGTTGCTTACTCCTTCTCCAGCTTCTGGTTGCAGAGTCTAGGTATAGGTACTCTACCCCAGTCTCTCGACTTTCCTTGTCTTGCCTTTTAGGCAACTTATAAAATGTAAACCTAACAAAAGAAATAATTATGAATTACTAACATTTCCTAACTCTTTCCCTGATGGCAGCCACTGTGTCAAGCACTTAAATGTATCATTTCACTTATGTTTCACAGAAGGCCTCTAAGTCTAAGGAAGGGGATTTGCGCAAGCTCTCTGCCTCTTTTTCCACCCTTACTGTTGCTCCTTCCCAATGAAGGAAATGCAAATCTGACTGTACGTGTTCTAAAAACATTTGCTGGCCTGGGGGGTGGGATCCCCGTGGTAGAAGTTCGCATACTTTGAGAATGACTTCTCTGTTCTTTCCTTTCCTTTCTCTTCTCTGTTTTTCTCTGCTGCCTTAGGTGCTTGGCATGCTCATCTCTTTGTAGTGGGCTGGCTGGGTCTGAGATTTGGGTTTAGTCATCAGAGTCAATGGAGGCTTTCTTGAGCCTCTGGCCTAAGCCACATTCTTCAGCTCAGTTTATCAGAATGCTCTGCATTGAGGATTCAGGTCCAAGACCAGCCAATTAAGTAAATGCCTTGCTTTCTTTACTATTGTCTCCTATCTGTATATCTCCTTTGGTTATCTCACAGGGAGGAGAGGTTGTTAGACCCGCATGGCATTCAGCCATTCTTGGATCATCTAACCCAGGGTTTCTCAGTGTGCTGTATTCACATTTTGGGCCCCATTATTCTCTGGGAGCCTGTTCTGTGCATTGTAGTATCCCTGGCCTCTTCCTATTAGATGTCAACAGTACTCCCCAAGTCGTGCCAATCAAAAATGTCTCCAGACATTGTCAAAAGTACCTGGAAGGCAAGATTGACCAGTTCTAGCCAAACACTCTTTAATAGCACAAACCCCACGATTAACCCTCAAATACTCACAGTGGACCAAACATTGGAATGCATTCACTATTACCCCACAACAGTGTCTCACACTGCTGAGAAAAGCTTCAACGTTCACTTGGTTCTCATCAGTCTTATGCTTCCATTTATGCTCTTTCCTGCCCTGTCCAGGCTTTCTTACTCTCAGGGCCAGGTCCTCACACATGGCAGGAAACATGAAATTATTCTTTGATGCTGACCTCAAGTTCCTCTGCCCTTTAACTCTCGCAGGTAGTGTAGCAGCTCGAGACTGTGCCTCCCTGTCTGCTTAGCACAGCATTCTCTCTGACAGATATTGCTAAGTAATATGTCCATTCGGTTGTGGCAAAAATAAATTTTATATATTGATCACAATTTGGTGGCCCACCATGGAAATGTTTGTCAACTATCATGGCACACCAATTAAGGACTAGTGCTTTTAAACATCTTCCTTGGGTGACCATCTCCAATTATAATCTGAAGATTTCTGAATCTATTTCTAGCCCAGATCTCTATGCTGAGGTCTAGATAAACCCAAATACAAAGATGTCTCAGAGACCTCCAACTCCATATCTTCGAAACCAAGTTCACAATATTTTGCGACAACTCTACTCATCCCCTGCTCTTAGGGAACACATCCACACAGTCACAGAAGCCAGCAACCTGCAAGTCTTTCTTAACTTCTTCCTCTCTCCTACTCCCCTGCGCCTATCCATTACCAAGTCCTCTCAGCGTGTTCCTCCTCTCTATTTCCTCTTCTTTAACTTGGGTCCATACTTCTTCTCACCTGTAACACTGCCGAAGTCCTATTGGTTTCCATGACTCTAGACTAGTCCCCAGCCAGCTGGCCTTCAGAGTACTGCCAGTGGGCTTTCTAAAATGCAAATCTGACTTTATCAAGTCCCCACTTGAAGTCTGTCAGTAGCTCCCTTTCATGGTCAAGTTCAGACTCAGCAGTTCAGCACATGAAACCCCTCATGACCTGGGTCTCACCTATCTCTCTAAGCTCCCCTCTCCCCTCCTGCCATTTCCCCACATTCTCCCGAAGCTCCAACTTTACTTAACTGCTTCCAAACTCTCCCCATTGCTTATTGCCTCTGGACCTCCTCATTGCTTCTTCATTGACCTGAGATGCCCTTGCATCTCCCTTGTTTTTATAACTAACTCATAATTGTGCTCAAAACTTAGCTCAAAACTATTGGGTTGGCCAAAAAATTTGTTCGGGGTTTTCCGTGCGATGGTATGGAAAAACCCGAACAAACTTTTTGGCCAGCCCAATACTTCCCCAGAGAAGTCTTCTGGGCTCTATCCTCCCCAGTGCCCCATCTAATGCCCCATATATGCCTTTACCACATAACGATGAGCTCCTCGAGGGTAAGAACTATGTTTTGTTCATATTTGTATTTTCAAAACTCAGCACAGGGCTGGTGTGAGCTCAGTAACTGTTTGGTGAGAGACTGATTGAGTGGATCTATGTTCTCTAGCCTGAAGTTTACACAAAGCTTGATGCCAACCATAAAGGCTAACCTAAACACCCTAATTAAAGAGTGAAAAAGTGATCAAAGCTTTTGGAGAATCCATGACTGTAACACAAAGCTGTGTTTCGTCTCTTTGACACTGCAGGAGACTGGTGACTTACCACCCACTCCAACAGCTGTCTGTGCTGTCCAATAAATAAGGTTAACCAAACAGTGCTCTGTACCATCAAGCCCTCTTTCTCCTTCACATAAGGAGACGCTCCAGTGTCAGGGAAAAATTAACCTCTCTCCTTCATCAACTCTAAAAGGATGTTGGAAGGGTTCTGTTAGGAAAGCCACAATGCAATTAAAGGAAATTGCCAACTGAGAGAAGCTGTCAGCTCTAACGCACCTCTGTGGCCACCAGCCTTGCCCTGCTGAGAGCATGAATCAGGCCCACGAGGGGCTGCTAAGCTCTTTCTCAAAGGGAAGCTCTCTCATTCAGAAGCCTACCCTATCTGGATACGTGGCTCATTTACACGCTTCAACTTGCTTTCTTTTTAAGGGGAGAGGTGGAGTGGAAGTCTCCTGAACTTCACAGCGCACCAGTTAGCCACCAGTACTCTGGCTTTCTATCTGCACGCACCAAGCCTTACATTTCATTTACCTACCAATCCACAGCTTCACCTTCCTCGTTTCTGCACGATATTGTTGTCGCTTTCAGGATCCCAAAGAGGCCAAGGAAGAGCAAAGCCAGGGGTGTTCTTAGAAGTCTTGCTGTCATTTTCTATCTGGCACCTTTATTCCATGGCGCAGCAGGAAACTTTCCCCGTGGATCGTGGAGTCTGAGTTTCAAGTCTCTCAGACTGTGCTGGCTCTGACATTTGATTCCATTTGCTTCTGCCATTTGCTGTTTAGGCATTTTCAGAATGGGACGAATCCCATGTAATTGTGTGATTCTGTCACAACATGCCGGCGTGACTCTGAATGCCTTTGTGCTGAATTGTTGACTGCTGAATAGTTTGCAACGTCATCAAAAAGTCCTGGCAAGAAAAAAAGGATGTATCGTTAACTCTTGGGAGTAAACATCATGTAGTATGAAATTCAGTGGACAGGAGAACTCTGTATTGATAAATAGATGTTGAATAAAATCTGTTTCATGTTTTTTCCTTTATGATTGTCTCTCTATGAGTGAGAGCAAATGTTTGTGGTTCAGACATTACACAGAAATGACAAAACTTTATATCTTAGTAATAATTAGGATCTATCACTTGTAATATTCTCTATCTTAAGGAAACATTTCCTAAAGGGTACTTCAAAGGCTTGCTTCAAAGAAAGAGCAAATTCAGTTGTATTTTACTGAAGATGTTTACATAGCCTCTCCACCTCCTGGTTTTAGCCACTCAGCATGGTGCTTTACTCCAAAGAGGCCTTGGTGTCCAATTGGTTGCAATGCAATCAGGTAAACATATTGACCGCTCATGCTTCAGATCAAATAAAAATGTTACAAGCATCTGTTTTGCCCAAATTATTCTTTCCCATTCTTGAAACTGAATCTGAAGTTGAAGGCAAAGGGAAAATGGCTCATTTCCATGACTATACAAAGGTGAGACCATTCTATTTTTGGAGGAGGGAAGAAGTAGATAGGCATATGAAAACATTTCTTTAAGTGCATGATGCCTTTGAATCAATTATTAAAGATGCTATAATAATAAATAGCAGTTTACTTTATGCCTGAAAGTCATTATGGCTCTGATCTGTCCCTTTGCTTATGGATCCAGATCAGAGTCACTTAGGGATTCAGACTAAATTAGACCCTTGCAAACTGGATCACTTCTATGGTTGAGCTGGTGTTGTTCAGGATCCTTGGGGTTCATAAAAAACGAAGGGCTTAGAGCTCTTTCTCCTAAAACAGAATTTTGTGAGGAATGTTATGGGCCACCTGCCCACATTTTCCTGTGGTGCTGGCAAAAAGGGACCTCAACCCAAACCTGCTAAATAAGAACTGGGTTCAAGAATCTACATTATTTACAAGTTTTTTGGTGATGCTGCGGCACCCTAAACTTTGAGACTTAATGCCCTGAGGCCAACGTTGTGCTGTATCTGGTTTCAGAACCTACCAAACTGGTAAACCGAGAAGCATTTTTCTGACCATTCCTCCATGGGTATCATTTTATTTAATGTATGTGTTTACTGCACTCAGAAAAAAAGGATTTCAGCAACCCCAAAATTTCATCAGTTTTTTAAAAAAGTCCATAGCATGAAGTTTACTTTTCTAAGTTAAAGTGAAATAAGTTTAATTTTATCTTGTGATAACTTTTGGTATTATAATGATAACAGGTGAGTACACTAGGCTTAGGATTCATTAATTCATATACAGAATGCAAGCAACTTGTTTTCATTTATGTAGGCTAAAGAACATTTGTTGAATAGGATATAAAATAATTTTCATTTTCTCCTCATTACACGCTTAGCACAGTGCCTGGCAAGTAGTAAATGATCCATAAGTGTTAGCTAAGATTATTTTTACTACAACCTGAGCCCTTCCTGTGATTGAGCTGCAGGATATGTGTATTAGGATGGTT